CATTTGTACTTCATCAAATTTATTTTTACATATTTTTTAATTTGAAACATTTACATTAAATATTTTAATTTATTTATTTTATGTCCACATTTTTTTGAATTGTCTATTTTTTGTTATTGTTTATGTTAAAAACGTATACAGTATATTTTTGTGTTGATAAGCCTGAGTGGTCTGTTGACTGACTGTATTTGTTCAAATAATTGTTATGGGCAGGTTACAATATAAAAATGTTTGTCATAATCACGTTTTGTGATAACTTGGCAGGAGTTTTACTTTTAAACTGTAAGTGTATTTAATTTAGTTATGTTAATTATGATGTACATACAATGAATGCTAAACCAAGATCATTTTGATCCATACATTGGTAATGTCTGACTGGGCCTCGTGCCTCTTTATGTTCAACAAATTGGGCCCCCAGGTCAAAAAGGTTAAGAACCCCTGTGTTAGAGAGCGTGCTGTGAAAAACTCTCAGCTACTACCACAGCTTCATATCTAAAATTCACTAAGCTAAAGGTCATTTTGTGTAGGTTAAACTAGATTAGCTGTGGTGAGAACCTTAAACTGGGTGGAATCCAAAGGTAATCAGTTGTAAATGTAGATTATTACTTTCTGACAGAAATAAATAGTGCTTGGGGAGATATTTTGCTCCTTCATCTTAAAGACCCGAGCCCCTCACCGTCCAGGACACTCGGATGGAACCCGCTTTGAGGATGACGGGGTCTTGAAGCTGGACCACCACTTCTCCGAGCTCCCTCTGCACCTGCCTGTGGTCCACGCCCTGTCCTGTAGGACTCCCATCTGAGGAAACACACACTCAGGTTCAGGCCTCGTGTCACAGAGTGCTGTTGTTACAACCAGCTGGGTGCAGGCCCACCTTGTGTTCTGACGGGCTCAGAGATGGGGCTTGGGTCACTCAGGCCGTAAGCGTTCACGGCTCGAACGATGAACAGGTACACCGTGTTGGGAAGAAGCCCGCTGACTGTGTGTGTCTCCATTCTGACCAGGTCTGCTACAGTCTGCCACGTGCTGCCGGCTGATTGGCTGTGACAGGACAAGGACAAACGTGGCTGTAAAATAATCGTGAAGAATAACTAAAGGCTTATTTTGCAGCTGCAACTAAAACCTCCYTCATACATTTTTAATAATCTAAACTCAGAAAAAAATGCAGACGTTTTGATGTATAACTGTGGATGAAGTGTAAAGACAACTAACATCACAAAAAATGTTAAAACTGCTAACAATGTAGTCACTATGGTAACAAAACCACCGTTTCTGTCACTCCCTGACTGCCAATTCGTTGAGAGGCAGAAAGAAACTGAAAAAAAAAAAAGACTTGGTTCATGTTGTCCACATAAACCATTGTTTTATAGCAGAAGGTCTATTTGCCTGGACATAACTCACACGGTTTAAATTCAATTCTTGTCCTTCAGAACTTTTAATCAGCAGACCATCTGGAGCTAGTTTCATAGTGACACAACTTAAAGCATTGACAAAAWGTCAAAAGTAGTTTTCGCAAACTTGGACTGTAGCAAACAAGCTTTTTACGTGGAAATGGGTGTGGCCTATACATACATGTGAGTCAGGATTGACCAGGGATTATGTTGATACGTTTAAGACCATACATTTTGTGACCTACGGTTCAAAAGTACCCYCGAGGGGACATGTTTTTTTTGCGTTCCCTCGCAATACTTTTGCATTACCTCGCAATATTTTTGCATTACCTCGCAAAATTGTTTTGCGTTCCCACGCAAAAGTTTGATTTGTATATGAACTGAATTAAATCAGACTTTTATTTTTGAAATATCCCGTTACCAAAACAGGATGTGTCGCCACAAGTTTGTGAAATTGACATTGATGTTGCGTGGCTGCACTGTTAAAATATTGGCATATGACATACTTCCATGCGTGGCTGTGTGAATGAATCAGAATTCAGAATGAATATATATTCATTCTGAAGCTGAATTAAAGCAGTAGGCTAACTCGCTAATGGTGAGCATGTGAGTTTGTTAATAAAACGGCAGGCACAACAGTGATTAATGACTTTTGCGAGGGAACTCAAAAGGTATTGCAAGTTAACGCAATAGTTTTGCGTGGGAACGCAAAAAGAAAAAAAAATCCCCCGTGTCCTCGCGGGCTCGGTACAAAAGCTAGAGGACCAAATGCAAAGAATTTCATTATAGCACCTCCTATGGGTGAACATGTCTGATTATTTTTACTCGTAAGCCATATTTATTACCCTGTAAATATCTTCTCTGTAATCCCTGWGGTTTGGACAGCAGTATGAGTTTTATAGACAAACGAAAAATAAAAATAATGAATAGTTAAAAACGGAACTGTTACAATAGTGTTCCACACTCTGCTGGATGCATGGAAACATTGTAGCGTTGCAGCTGCATTTCCCTGCTCTGCGGGCTTGGACCCCTAATAAAGCCTTCAAACAATGAGGGGTTGTGTGAAAACTATTGGTCGAACTAAAAACATCAACTAGAGTGTCAGAAGATTCTTGATTTGGTCCTGACTAACCTGGACCTATGGTAAGAAACTCTTTGGACCCTCTGTTTGCCTACCAGCCCCATGTAGATGATACTGGGATTTATCTCCCACCTGGACGGTGGTGGAAACTGTTAGAATCAACCACGGAGGCAGGAAGGCTCTCTTAATGGACTGCAAACTCTAGAAACTCTGAACTTCCTCTGCAGCAGCTGTGTTTTTCTCTAACTCACCTGAAGGCCTCAATGATGTAGGAGGTGACGGCGGCTCCACCTTCATGTGCGTTGGGTTGCCAGGTCAGAGAGACGCTGTTCTTTGACACATCTGTGACGATGGGTTTGTGTGGTGGGCCTGGCAGCTGAAAAGGCTCAGCGGCCTGAGCGACAGCCGGGTCAGCACTCTCTGAAGGTGAGGGAGAAGAACCGAAGATGTTACCAAGGTTTGAACCGTTGCTACAGWCTGGGTCAAACCTCAATAATGACACACGATCTCATGATCTGAAATCACGTAAAATGTTTAGCTCTCGGACTAAATTTTGGGAGTGATGTTTAGCTARTGCCACAGTTTCAACAGTTTATATCTTGTGGTTCATGTGAGATTTGCAGACACCGCTGACTTCAGTGGTTAAAGGCAAACTTATGTTTGTTGTCTTTCATTCAGGTGTTTTTAAACTGGTGTGGTGTTTCATCTGTCAGAGTGAAGCAAAACTCAGCAGACATGAACTTTTTGGTACTTCATTGGATTTGCTTTAMTTTTTATTTTTAAAAATCGATTTTGGGACATTTTAAATTGATTCTGAATCTCTGTAAATGAGAATCACGATTCTGCTGTGAATCAGTTTTTTTGGTGCACCCCTGCTGTACAACTTTCTTAAACTAATTAAAATGTAATTTTGAACGGTTGCCTGTGTTGTTTGATTCAACCTCAGTTCCAATGAATGTGGGACACTGTGTGAAACAAAGGCTGGACCATAAGGCTACAGTTTATTAATGGTGCAACAATACATGTACCCGTATCGAACCATTCAATACAGTGCTTTAGGTTAAAAACACACTGTGTATCGAACAATACAGATTTTTTAAATTTTATTTTATCGTGTCTTCTAAAGATGCACTTCTTTGAAGGATCAGTGGATCTGTGTTCGACTACTCCGCCTAGGTTGCATTGTCGAGCTCAGATCCACTGAGAAACTTGCTGTTTCAGCAACATTTAATTTAAAAACTGTACTTTTGAGATTAAACAAATGTTGATAATTATTTTTAAATGAATTGGAAGTTAAAAAAGGACATTTCTCTTTTTTTGTATCGAAAAATACTGAACCGTGAGACTAAAGTATCGAACCGAACCGAATCGTGAATTTTCTGTTTCGTTGCACCCCTACAATT